GGAGCTGGGCATGGTGTAATTCTCCTGATCTTGGTAGATATGGCCATACTTTGACTATTTGACCTGTGAGCCACTTTCTTCTTTGAGACTTTGGTTTCCCTTTCTCTTTTGCTCCAGATGAGTAGAGACCAATAATTATGTTTTAGATGACTGAACACAAACTGAAGATATCGGTAATATTCTTCAATAGTTTTAGTGGATGGGGTATAAATTTGAATAATAGCTGTATTGATTGATTGATTGTGTAGATATTATCTTATCACAGATAGCATTGTTCTTCAAGAAAGCTCTTGAAATGTCCTTTTTGATGATGAATGTGATCCTTTTTGATGATGAATGTGACACCATTTCTCTTGAATCTGCTTTTCCTGGCATAGTAAACTATATGATTGCCTAATTCAAAATGCCCAATACTAGTACATTTCTGCTCACTTATACCTAGGATATCGTTGTTTATGTATTCCATTTAATTTTTGATGACTTCCAGTTTTCCTGGATTCATACTGTGTGCATTCCAAGTTATAATTATTCATAGATGTTTGCAGCTGACTTTTCTCATTTTGAGTTTTGGCCATAAGTGAGTGAAGTTCCCGAAAGCTTCATTCCATCCACATGGTTATGTTTGACTTTACGTTGAGAAGGCAGCTGTTCCTCAGTCACATTTTGAGTGCCTTCTGACCTCTGGGGCTCATCTTCTGGCACTATGTTTGATAATGTTTTGCTCCTATTCAGTAGTCTTTCAGTATCTACAATGTTCTGCTGCTACCCATAAGGTTTTCAGTAGCTAATTCCTGTGAAGTGGACAGCCTGTTCCTTCTTCGTAGACTGTTCTTAGTCTGGAACTTGCTAAAACCTGTTCACTTTGGGTGACCCTGCTGGTATTTGAAATACCAGTGGCATAGTTTTTCAGTATGACAGCAAGCATAAGCTACCATAGTATGATAAAGCGACAGACAAGTGGTAGATCTACATATACACACACACACAGATCTACATATTTATACAAATACATGCCTCCATGTGAACATACATACATATATATGTATATATATGTATATATATATATGAAGAGGATTCCAAAATTTCATGGGAAAATGGAATGAAAAGATAATGGAATTTTTCCACAAAGTTTTTCTTTTTAATCATTTTATTAGGGACTCATACAACTC